TCACCGGTTGCATAGTGTACCTTTAAAACAAGTTCTACCATTCTGCTTTGCTTGGTTATTTTCATTAATTTTGTTTTATCTTTTTACTTTGCTGAAACAAAAACATAGTGAGATGAAAATTATCCAGCTGATCGTTTCCAAAAACTCAACAAAGACGCTCAATAAAATCTTACCTTCGTTTCCATCTTCTTTACCGGTTTTTGCACACAGCTACAGTCAGTCACCACAGTAAAAAACAGAAACCCTCTTTATTTAAACAACCTCACAACTTTCCAAAATAATATATATTTTTTTGTTGTTTATTTTATTTAAATCTTTGGTTACTATAGATGCCAAACAAACAGTAACATTGAACTTCATGTCGACGCAGAACTCCAACATCAGCTCGGCTCCAGACTCGCTCTGGATCTTTTCTCTGTGCGTTTTGTGTTTCTTACAGAAAATAAAATAAAGACATCTGCAGCAGTCTTTACACAAACTCATCCTCTTGTTTTTGTAAAAGTCATGCCTGTAATAAACACTTAAAAGTAACAGATCATGTATAATTTAACAAACACTACAAAGAAAAAGAAAAACATCTATAAAGTCCCACACATCAACGAACGACACGTAGAAATTAAATAAAGTCTCCTTCTCCTCACAGAAGTGCAGGAAAACGGGACTCGGTTTGGATAAAATACTGCACGGCTAATCAGGAGCAGAAACTGTGGAGGTATACGCAGCGCAGCGAGCGGGTGGGGGGGGTCATCCTTCCTTCTCAGAGCCTCTGAAGCAACATAACATGGGTGGAAATGCCCTGATTCAGCCGCATAGAGACCACTGAGAATAATAATCCTGTGTTTATTTCTATGTTCCCGCGGAATAACGAAAAAATGAAAATGATCAAAGTAAAACCAGTGCAGCCGAAACTCAGAGCTGCACTAATAATCATACTTCCACAGTTTCCTTGTGGTCATTTTGGCACTTTTTTTTTTCCTTCCTCCTACAGAACTCATCTATTCAGTCTGGGACTCAAGATTCTGCTGAATAAAACATCATAAAAACACCCAAACAAGACTAATAACAATAAAAAAAATAAACAATTGCCTTCTTCTAGCTTCTTTTGAAACAATCTAGTGGTGCTGACAATAATATTGGCTTGAGAAATCAAGTGAAAGTGAGTTAAGTGCTCAAAGAAAGGATGTGCAAAGTTAACAGTGCTGTAACCAGAACAGTTTGGGGAGATTCGCGTCGAATCGCAGCCGACTAACGTTTAATACCAACAATCCTCTTCATCGGGTTTTAGTGGAAATCTTTAAAACGTTCCACTAACGCATGCTGTTAAACAGCTTATTTAAAAACAAAAAAAAAAAGTAAAAATCTCATCACATATTTGTTCCCAACCAAACACTCCAGCAGATCTTCTAAAAAGCACAAGCTGAACGTTAGTTATGGCTATTTTTCCCTAGAAACGAACATCTTGAATGGAAATGTGAAGGGTTGCAGATGAAGCCTCCCACAGGCTGGTCCTTTAACATGTAGAGACGCGGCGAGGCGTTGACGCGTGAGGAAGAGGAGCAGCGTTTACCCGCAGAGCAGCGTCTAAACTAATTCAAACAGATCGAACGTCTCCGCAGGTCGACCTTTAACCTCTGTGAGGGTTTTCCTCGTAGGTCCAGAGCTGAACGCAACAGAAACAACATGGAAAAAATAAACAAAGAAAAGCTAAAAAGGTTGAGATGAACGACGTAAAGAGAGAAGAGGTGGCGACTCCACAACATCAACACACGACGGAGCGAACAGAACGGTTCAGGTTAGCTGACGGGTATAAAGTGTCTCTAGGCTCTACCTTCCCTCAGAGAGGGGGGGGGGCACACCAAAGTCCTTCAATCAGTCATGAGCGACCCCTCCCCGCTATGCAACAACCCCCTACCCTTCATACAACCATACTGGCCTTTTTCCTTTAAAAAAAAAAAAAAAAAAGCCTGGTGATTGGTATCCATGGCGACCCGCCCTCATGTGCAGTGATAACAGTTTTTATTCTTTCTTTCTCTTTTAGGAGTAGATGGTGATGACTTCTCGGCCTCCTCCGCGCACCAGGAGGACGCGGTTCAGGCCTTCCAGCAGAACCTCCAGGAACTCCATGTCTGAGAGGACAGCAGTCAAGGGAGACGGGAAAAACACGCAGAGCGTTCAAACCGACTGAGCGGAAGTCTGAGGGGCACCTTAACGATTTAGACCAGCGTACGAAAACGCTGGCATACGTTGGATAAGTTATGGGTACGCTGATGCACGCCGACATACGGCGAGAAATTTTGAGCATCTTCAAAATTTAAGATCATTGTGTTTCCCTTTGCCTTAGTTACACCTCAGCTTGTGTAATTAGGGACATCCCCTGACTTTAATAAATAGTGAGGAGAAAGCTGAAGACCGGCAGAGTGGGTTGGAGATTTATAAACTCTGCAGTCTCTTCCTACTCTCCTCGCGAGTAAAACTAAATTAATTGTCTCTGTGATGTTTTAGGTTCTTAGACCTGACAGTCAGTTATCTGATCGTTGACATACGTTAAGCGTAAGTTACTCTAGCTTCTAGCTTATCAAAACCTATGGGTAACGTAGGTTAGATACGTTACCTATGGGTAACGTATCTAACTTATCAAGAACTTCTCTTCAAAATCAACGTATCTGACGTGTTCCAGACGACCGCTGAACGTGTTTCTAACTTACAGCTACTGTATAATGGCGTACTGACAGCGTTTTTTTTGTTTTTACGGCAATAGCGGCTCGTTTTTTCGACAGTAGGCTGACAGGAAAGGGGGTATGAGAGAGGGGGAGAGACATCGGATTCGAACCCCGGTCGGCTGCGTCGAGGACTAAGGCCTCCGTACATGGGTCGTGTGCGCCACCTGCTGCTCCGCCTGCATGTATTGGGAGCGTTTTGGTATAAAGGAAGTTCACAGGAGGAAACCATCAGTTCTCCTCCATCGTACGGTGAGCGAGAAGGTGAGAGATGGATCCTCCCTTCTTTCACGCCGATGACCAACAAGCTTCCTAGCAGCCATGACGCCGAATCTGCTGCAATTGCAAACCTTCTTTCTTTTTTCTTTTTATTTATTCTTTTTTTTTGGCGGGTGGTAAACAGCAGCTAGGTTAATACCACGATCAAATTAATCTTTTTATGCAAACTGATGCTTCGTAGTGCCCGTGAAACGCTGCCCTGCATTGTGCATAAGTTAGGCTGTCTTTGGACATAAGTACGCTATGTATACGCCCAATATTGAAAAAAATTATGCCAGCGTTTTAGGAGATTCTGCACTGCAAAAAAATTAAATCTTCTTAAAATAAGTGCATTTTTCCACTTAAAATAAGAAAAAAACAATTGTATTGTCTTATTTCAAGTGCATTTTATCTAGATACCTTATTTTAAGAGTAAAAATACTAATTCCATTGGCAAATCATCTTATTTACCTGCTCAAATTAAGGGTAAATGCCCTTAATTTAAGAAATTTTTACTCATTTTGAGATCATTTTTGCAGTGTGGAACATCAGGCATACACTTGATAAATCAGCAAGGTGTGACAGAGCCCTAAGTAATTCCTCTGATCCTCTTCCAGTTTTTTGATCTCACTGAAATTATTTATATTTCTATTGATTAAGAGGCAAATTACAGTGGTGAACCAAATGTTGTTTCTGATTTACAGAATCTGACTCAAGTCTGAAATGGAGCCTTTTGAGTGTCGAGCGGTGATCCGGTTTTTGTATTTGAAAGGAAGACGACCACAGGAGACTTTAGATGAAATGAAAGTAACTTAAAGTTATGATGTCCCATCATATGACCTAGAAGAACGTTTTACAAAGTCATACGATGGGGCATCATATGGCCTTTTTGTCAAGTCTTCCATGGTGTACGTCCTTTTAAAGTAACTAAGAGAAGTTCCATTATTGTTTAAGCATAATTATTTCTACTATGTATTTATGCTAATTTACTAGACAGCGCTGGAACAAACAAAAGGAGGAAGATTATTAATGAATCAAACGAAAGGTTTAGTAAAGTCTGGAGGATGTTTTGACGTCTATCTGTTCCATTAACTGGCCTTTTCTGACCTGCAATCATCAGAATCCGCTGTGCTGAAGCAGAGAAACCTCTAAACCTGCAGGACAGCGGCCCTCCAGGAACGACTTTAGGAAAGGCTTAGATGCAAATAGAACCAGAACATTTATTCCGTCTTTAACCTTTGGTATCTTCAGCTGATAGACGCCTCTAAATGCGCAGGAGCTGCTCTTCCTTAACGGCAGTCCATAAAGCTTCCCTGAGAGCCGTGAGAATGAAGTGGATCAGAAAAGCTGCAGCTGGACAGTTTAACTGTGGGCTAAACTCCCTGTAAGACTCTATAAAGCCAAGAGGAGCCGGTAGCTCCAGTGCAGAAAGCTCAGGCTTTCACAGGGCTCCTTAGCTAATAAAAACCTGCTCCCAGGTAATTCCAGCCGGTGGAAGGATACAGTTTTCATCTCCTCCTCTGTTCTTCGGTGGTCCCGGCATGTTGAGCAGCACCAGATGGGCTCCCTGCGACTTGTTGACCACCACCTCGTTCAGCTTGACCGCCGTGTGCATGCGACGAACGTTCGACTGGTTCCTGAGCAGACAAACACGCCACAGTGAGGGAAGCAGGGAAGAGAGTATGGAGTGAAATTTGATCAATTGTTTTTGCACCATAGAACATGTTTCATAATGGGAAATAAAAAAATCCAGAATGGAAACTATGAAAGTTTAACTCAAAAAAGTTAAGAAAATAACTTTTTTGTTTTTTTAAATATATTTTTCCTAGTTTTTTTTTCTTATTTTACCTTTTTTTTGTAGATATATTTTTACATTTTAGTTTTAAATAAATCTTTCCACAAATTCATCTTTCGGATTATTGTAATGTGAGCCGCCGTTATGTGCAATTTGAAAAGGATACAATTAATAAAACTAAAAAGGAGAATAAAAAAAAAAGATACAAATCTGTCAAAAAAAACAACTTTGAAATCAAGTTAGAAAAAAATACATTTAGAGAATTCAGTCTGTAATAAAATGTAAAAAAAAATTTAAATACAAGAAAAAAACATCTAAGAAAACAGCTAAATGACTCAAAACTGTTTTTTTTTTATAAAAAACATATATTTTTTGCATTCATTTAAAATTTTCTATTTACAAAACATGTTCTTTACTTGCAACAATAATGGAACAAAATTCACTCCATAGAACAATGGTTTAAGGAACGATTTGCGGCGTAAGGAGGTTCGACAGAGAAGAAGGCGACTTTTTGTTTGTTAATCAGAAATCAGGCAAAGTTAGAAGCGTTTTCATCCCAAACAAAGAGGCAGAGCTGTTCACACCTCAAACCTGCCGATAATTTAGCCCATTTGAATTTAAATCAAATTTTAACCATCAACGCTTCCTCTTTGTTTTAAAGCCACACGTCATTAGGAAACACAGCACAGAAGCAAAAGCAAAATGTCTGTTTTCATTGCGGTTTGAAAAACATGGATGTTGAAACAATAAAGCCAATAAAATCACATCATCATCATGCAGCTTAAATCAGAGGAGCTTATCCAGCCAGCATCAGGTTTAAAACTGCAGTCAGAGCAATAAAACAAAACAGGAACACCAGACATGAGCAGGAGGACGGTGAGAAAAAGGTGGAGTCACCACGGCAACAGATCACAGAGGACCCGAGGGAGGGAGGGGGGCAAAGAGAATGCAACTTACAGACTCTCCCACTCTCTAGAAGGAGGAAAATGGGACAGAACAACAGAAACAGGCTTAGATGCTTCTACAACACCGCATGCTTCCAACCGTCACTGCTGACCCACAGGAACCGCGGCAGAGTGACATGAGGCTGTTTGATGTCTGCTGGGACGCTCCCGGTCAATCTGCCTCACAAACCGTCTGATGTTCTGTGGTGAACCAGGTTAGTGAACGAGATGCGCACGCTTTCCCGCCATGCCATGAAGGACACTCATGCGTGCTCACTGTAGCCGTCACGCTGAGGCGGCTCGGCTTGGTAACCTCATCAAACACCGCCATGTCACGCCGCTAATGATCCCAGCTGCAAACTCTGGGGTTTCTGAGTGGAAATACTCACGGCTTCATGTTGAACAGGTCCCGGACCGCCACGTTGGCGTTGGCCTCCCGGTTGCGGTTCCGCTCCGTGAAGAGCTTTTCCCTGGTCCAGGTCATGTGGACCCGCTCAGGACCGGCTTCGGCCTTGTCGTTCATGGCGACGTGAGCGGCTGTGTTCTTGTCGTGGATGAGCTGAGCCTGAGAGGAAGGCAGAGGACGCGATAAGGAAGGATACCTAAAAAAAGAAATCCGAGGGTGGATTCGGTTCTATGAGAAAGAGATGGAAGAGGGAATGAGAGAGGAGACGCATGCAGAGAGGTTCCCTGCAGGAGAACGCCGTCGTTCTCTGCGTTCTGAGGCTGCATGCATGCAGGTGAAAGTCAAGGTCACAGGGAGGCAAGGTGTTTGCTAAGGATGCTGCTATCCGAACACACCACTGATCTTTTTCCCGTTGGAGTATGGAGGGAAGTTTGTTCCATTATTGTTCCAAGCAAAGAGTGTTTTAAAAATCTAAATTTGAGAAAAAGAAAATCCAGAAATTTTGTTAGATGTAGTTTTTCTAATTATTTTGTCTTTCATTTGTTTCATTGTTCAATTTATAATGCATGTTATATGTTGAATTTCTATTTTTAAGTTACATTATCTTCAAATTCTTTCACGGATCACATTATCTTCACTTCAACAGAAATATGAAAAAACATCCATAATAAAATAAATGAAATCTAAGAAAACAGCTACGTTTCTCTCCTTTTTTCTCCACTGTAACTTTTCCAATTTTTAATTTATAGATTACATTTTTTCAAATTTACATTTACAAAAAACATTCCTTTATGGGAATAATGGAACTAAATTGCCTCCATAGCATAGAAACAGCAGGGAAACCACAGCACAGTACGACAAAGCACCGACGGCCTCCTTCGTTCTGCACGAAGTGATGAAAGCTCTCAATGGCCGACCAGCTGTACCTGTTAAAACACCATTAAGAGCCAGAAACTTAAACATACAAACTTTTTATGACCACTGGCTGACAGATCCCAACTTTAGCATGAAGGAGGCTACAGAGTTAGCTAAAAATAAATAACACGGATAAGGAGCACTGATAGTAGTGGTCATTACTATTGACAAATAGTGAAATGCATGTTTAGGTAAATATAAATCGATATCAGGAAGGAGCCACCATGAAACAGGGTTTCATTTTTCATCCGTTTAAGAAATTCAAAATAAAAATCTGATCACAAAGTAGCTTTAGAGTTAGCTAACTTTGACATTCCTGAAAATGAACCAGAAGCAAGGTCTGGGTGAGAGTGAGATTTCATGCAGATAACAGGAAGGCTGACCAGAGCGCAGCTAAAATGCACTAATGTGATGGCAGAAGCTGGAGTTGGGAATGTCAGCAAACTTTTAGAAACTTCTGACATTAAAGGAATAGTACACCCAAAACATGATTAGCCTTCATTTTCTACTCACCCCCATGCTGAACAACACTCTGGAGTACTTTTTTGATATCTCAAATGCATCTGGAGATCTGGGAGGCTTCTTGCTGTCTGCTGACATTCAAATAATGGAGGTCTATGGCGCCCGAGGCAGAAAGGTCCATAAAAGTCCACAAAAAACGTGTCAATATTCCTCCATACTGCTCGTCCAATGTATTCCAAGTGTCCTGAGTGGGTAGCGTCCATAATTTACTCGAAACGAAGTCATTTAGAATGTTTTTAGAGCATAAACAGTAGTGTATAGGATTTCCTGAAAGCGCGTTCACGAGTCTACGGAAACCGCGGCAGACCAAACCAGATGAAAGTGCGCATTCAGCTCGGCAAAGAACTCATGCTCTTCCTCAACACTGAAGTCCTCAGACATTTTTCTTTCGTTGTTTCTTTCTTTGCACAGGTAAACAGCACATTTCTTCTTCTACGCTTGCATTATCGGCAGAGCAGACGCTGAATGCGCACTTTCATCTGGTTTGGTCTGCCGCGGTTTCCGTAGCGTCGTGAACGCGCTGTCAGGAAATCCTATACACTACTGCCATCCTTCCCTCAGGAATATGCAGGCAGACTGCTGATTAGTAATGCTAGCTGTGCTAGTTGCTAATGGTATTTATTTTTATAAGGGCAACAACACCCCAGCTCCTGATATAAATAATGATGATTTTAATAGTTTACTAAAAGCAAAACAACAAAAAAAAGCTCTGATCTGTTCTTTTCCATAAAAAAATAATAATATGTGTTGAATTATGTTAGCTTAGCGGTCAGAAGCAGAGGAGCTGCATTTGTTCCATTACCTCCAGTGATTTGTTGTAAGGTTTGTTGCTCAGTTCGGATGCCTTTATGAACTTTTGCACAAATTAATCAAAAAGTCAGCAAGATGCAGTTGAGATGCTTTTATTTATATATATTTTTATTTCATGCAGGGAAAAATTAGCAGGTGCAGGATGCCTCTATGATCGCCTAGAAACATCTACAGCTGAGGTTCAATAAAAATATAGGAATGTTTTCAGGGTTAAAGCATTCACTTTAATATATATATCAAGGTTCCTATGATAATGCTATCCTATCTGTGCTATGGGTATTGGGGGGGGGATGTGGGAGGAGGAGGAAGGTGGTGAGCAGACTCGGGATTTGGGCTGGTGTTCACAAAGCAGCTTTCATGACTACACAGTAAGTAGCTCTACTGTTGGTCAATCTGGACTCTGCATACTTTATACGTTCAACATGGAGTCGTCCTAAATGTTGCTTCCTGGCTCTTTACACACTAAACCTGGATTACTGTTAATAAAAAGCTGGGAGGTTCTAACTTCCTGGAGAAATATTCCTCTAAATATCTTCATTAAACCAAGTAAAGCTGCTGCAGAGCAGAGAAAACAAAACAAGCTAAAAAAAAAAATCATCATTCATCTTCCTAACCTGATGTATATGGAATGAATTTTGCTCCATTATTTCTGCTAGCGAAGAATACGTATATATATGGAAATCTGAAATGAAACTTTTTTAACCCCAAAAAACTAACTTCATATTTTTTTTATTTTAAAACAGTTTTTTAAACGTATTTTTACAGATTTAATATTTTAATTTGTATGACCAATAGAAAACGTTGTTACTAATGTCCCTGCAGACTAATAGAAATGTGTCTCTACTCCCCTTCTAGAGGAAAGGACACCCCAGATTTAGAGAATATGATCTTAAAATGCAATAAAATAAAAATATAATTTTTAAATCTCAATCTGAAAAAGTTAAATAAATTTTTTTTAAATTTACTCTGTAAAATGTGAAAAATACTTTAATCTGTAAAAGAAGTAAAAACTAAAAAATATATATAAAAAAGTTTAAAATAAATAGGTTGAAACATTTTTAAATATGAAAATAAAATAAAAAATCTGAGGAAGAATTTAAATGATTTCCAAAGTCTTCTGTCTGAATTGCATATTTTTTTAAATTTCCTTTTACAAGATATTGCTTTTTACCAGTTAAACATGTTCTTTGCGCTCCAAAAATAATGGAAGAAAATGAGCTGCTCATATATACGGCCACCCAGACGCCGCAGGGACAAGGACAAAGTCAAAGTAAGAAGGTTAAAAAGCTCAAAGGATTATCCAGACGACTGTTTCCTCCCTTCACTGCAGCGCGGCTCAAAAGGTGACACTAAAAACGCCCTCAGGGGTTTATTTTTAACTGAGCTGTAACCTATGAACACCCATCCAAACATCAGCTATGTTTAATTAAAACTATCTTTCTGGAATCATAATATCTTCGACTAGAAGAAGCCAAACCTCAGAAGTACCAGCTTGTTTTTTTCTGTTTATCTCCTTATTTGTCCCCAATAGATAAAAGAAAAGCATCAGAAGCTGATTTCAATGATATAATTAGTTGGAGTGATGACCACTGTAGCCAGAGCTGGAGCTTTGTGAAGACGGCCCTGTGAAGCTAACAGTGACTGGGACGGTGGGTTGATAAAAGTCCACTACCTTGTCCTCCTGAGTGTCCTCCGCCGTGGAGGACTGCCGGCTGACGCTGGAGTTCTCTGCGGCTCCCGGGTTCTTCCTCCGGATCGAGCTACGCGACTCGTCAGTGATACTCTGAATCTGGGCGTTGAAGCGGGGCCCAGACAGGCGCAGCAGGAAGAACATGGAGAGCGGCCAGTTGTCATAGAGCTTAAGAGTTTGGCCTTAAATCAGCCAGCTAAGTGAGTGAGAGTGTGTGTGTCGCTGACTGCTAATACTGCTGCTAAATCGATGGTATTTAGCAGAAATGGATCCTATCTTGGCTCTCAGAGTCCAAGCAACAGGATGTAGAGGAATCCCAGAATGCAGCATTGCTAACAATCAGTCAGCTGTTGTGTTCAGGCGTTTGTTTACCTCTCTTTCTCTCTCGGTCCTGGAAAGGTGCATCTGTTTGAGCATTTGAGACCTCTGCTCCATCACCAGCGTCTTCTCATACGTGAAGGCTGAGATATCGTTGTCGTGCTGCAGGGGACAGAAAATACCTCACTGTTAAAAGAGAACTAGATGCACCACAAAAAAAGCCCTTCGTCTGCATTTATTTTCTCTTTATTGCTCCTTTATTTGTCCCGCCCCCTAATTATATATATTGTATGAAATACAATATA